TAGGTCTTGGGCTTTGCGAAACCCAGGACGTCATATTGAACTCTAAGCCCATAACATGATGTTTTCTAAATAAAATTCTTCTAAACCAACAAAAGTAGCTAAGACGATTAGTCTTAGATAAATCAGAATATGCAAAAAGAGCTATATGTGGCAATATACAATACTCATCACATGACAAAAAAGAGGCTATACAAGATAAACTTGATAGCTAAGCCTCCGCTGCCTTCCTTGATGGACCAGCCCTAGAGCTATTACCTGAAAATGTTAAACCACGGGGTGAGACAAAAGTCTCAGTAACCAATAATCCTACTCATCAGGCATACAAGTAAGTGCTTGGAAGGTGTTAAGTGGAACAGTTACAAAAATCATAACATTTACAATTGTCACATGGTTTTATACACACACACACACATATACATATCAAAATACAATATCTCACTCTTAATTTCACTTTATTTCCTCACACCTTATTTCCTCTGACTGAAACCATGGGCTAGTACTGACCCACGTGACTGGTAACTCAATATAATAAGCTCACCGATCAAGTGATATGAACAGGCCAAAATCCACAGAGCACAAGACCGGACTATGGTTTCTCCCTCTAGTCCACTAGCGGGGTGTCATATGCCCTACAACACGAGAAAGGGCCAAAAGATCAATCAGTGTACATCTGACGTCCTCCCACCTTATTACCTTTATAATATGTATAAAATTCACCCCCTTATTCTCCTTGTAATATGTCTCTCACCAATCAACGTTCACCATCCCCTCTCGTATTTATGCTCATGAGATTTATAAAATAATCATTTACTAATAACATAATAACTTTTGACTTTACCAAAATCGAGATTTCTAAATTTCAGTAATCAACATCAATCCTTAAAACCATTTCTCAATAAATTCATGTTCCACATGACAAGTTTATGAATTCATAATTTCATAACTATTCTTCAATAACATAAAGTATCTCAAGGTAATCTCAACAGTAATACATTCCATTACTCAAATCATAGCCCAATGGCATTTCAAGAATCTCATATAATTCGAAATCACTCACAAACATCATACCAGCATACATAACAAGTGGAAAATGGTTATTTTTCACCAAGGCTATAATAAAAATTACCACAAAGTCAACTCCGTGCTCAAACTAATAATCCAATAATTAATATATACAATTAATATAATCACAAATTAATATAAGCTAATTAATTAAGCTTATATATAGTTAAATTTCTAATTTAATTTAATTTTTGTTCTAATTTTTATTCTAAATTCTCACAACTTTCATAACCTAAAAGTAAGTACTTTAGAAATAACTTATAAATTTTCTAACAAGCCAAATTATTCATTTCCATTCTCTGAATTATTTGCTTTGATAAAAAGAATTTCTCAAATTTCTCAAATATGAAATTATTATATTTCAAATTCTAAAAATCCCATTTCAAGTTTAAATATCAAAACCAAACCATCAAAAATTCAATAGTACCTCAAATATTTATAAATAAATAGTCTAATTAAAATTTTAATGATATAATTATCAGATTTTTTTTCCTTCACAAATAATAGAATTTTATCTAAACGATTATTTTAAAACCTCCAATCACCCAATAAAATAAAACTAAACTGATTAAAATCACAATAATATGCCAAACAATCCAAATAAATTGTTTAATTTAATTTTGATCTGTAAAAATATGATAAATATCATAAATAACATATTTTTCAACTAAATATATCAATTAAAATTCTAAAAACCGACAAATGGACAAATCTAAACTGATAGAAATGATCTACTATAATAGATCTACAATACTGTGGTTAACACTCATCAAAACTAAATACTTGCTCCAAACTCTATATCAAAAATTTTCTCTAAGCAACACAAAATTACTATCATTAGGTAGATCTAACTTAGTAAAACAAATTTCATGAAAGAAGTTTTGTAATTAGAAGTAGTTTTACTTACCAAAATAATCTAATAGAGAAAGAAGTGAGAGAGAGAGCGACACTCTGCAACCAAATGAACGCAGAGAGAGAGGAGAAAAGAAGAAAAAGATGATGGGAAAGTAAAAAAGAAACTTTCAGGATAAATTGAGGTTAAAGACCCTATTTAAAACAGAAATAATAATAGTTTGGAACCCTTTTTTTTCAATTTTCAAATATTTAAATAAAAATTAAGACGTTACAAATAGTCTACCCTCCAAGACCCTTAACTTTAAGACACCAATGAACCTTCTTACACAAACCTATCAAAGACTTTACTTGCCCCCAATCTTCTTTTGAAAGTGTCTGAATGCTTAGCCTGTGTTCATCACAAAGAGGGAGGAAAATTTGAACCCCAAGCCATTAAATGTCTATTTTAGGATACTCATCATCACAAAAGGACTACAAGTGCTACTCTCCCTCTATTTAAAAATATTTTGTCACAATAGATATTAAATTTGTAGAGGATCAAGCCTATTACACTAATTCTCCCACTCAAGGGGAGAGTATGGGGGAATGAGAGCCCTTGAACTATGATCAACCTAACATTACACAAGAACATGATCCTACCAAGCCTAATCCTAACCTTTTAGATTCACTCGAGCTTGACCTGAGCCTTCTACATCTTGAAATTACAAACCACACCAAACCTGAACCTGTTTCCACACCAAAATCTAACCTAGAATCACCATCTCCTCTATGTGAACCTAGAATAGTGCCTAATGATGCCTTGCAAGATACTATGACGGATGAATCTAAGGCAGAAACAGATAACGCTGAAGAGGAAGAAGTCACTCCAAATAGTAGGGATCTTCCTGAGTCACAGCAAGGTCAAGAATCAACCCAATCTTCAGTTCTTGGTGATCTCAGCTAGCCAATTGCACTTAGAAAAGGGGGTAAGAAAGTGCACTATGCACCCCATTAGCCATTTTGTTTCTTATGACAAGCTATCTACTTTTATGAAAAGCTTTGTGACTAAAATTGAAGAGAAAAAAGTTCCTTGTCATCTTGATGAAGTTGTCAAAGATCCAAGGTGGAAAGCTGCTATTGATGAAGAGCTTAAGGCTCTAGAAAAGAATAAGAGGTGGAATTAGTTCAAATACCACCAGGAAAGAAGGCTGTAGGGTGTAAGTGGGTCTTTACAATAAAATACAATTCAGATGGATCCATAAACAAGTTTAAAGCCTGACTAGTAGCAAAAGGATTCTCCCAGATCCAACATATTGACTACCAAAAAACATTTGCACCAGTGGCAAAATTGAACATTATTTGAATATTACTATCCCTAGTTGCAAACCTTGATTGGTCATTGCACCAGCTAGACATGAAAAATGCATTTTTAAATGGGGATCTTAAAGAAGTTTATATGAGGATCTTTGAAAGGTTAGCAGAACATGGGAATCTTAACAAGGCTTGTAGATTATATAAGTCTCTTTATCATCTAAAGCAATCACCAAGAGCATGGTTTGAGAGATTTACAAAAGTGGTGAAGAGTTCAGGTTACATTCAATGTCAATCTAATCATACACTATTTGTCAAGTACTCAGGTATGAAAGTTGCTATCTTAATTGTATATATTGATGATATTTTGATAACTGGAGATGATTTTGTAGAAATAGAAAGGTTGAAAAGGACTCTAGCAACTACGTTTGAGGTTAAAGACCTTGGACATCTAAGGTACTTTCTTGGAATGGAAATTGCCAGATCAAAAGAAGGCATTTCTATCTCACAAAGAAAGTACACACTTGACTTGCTCAAGAAAACAAGAATGCTAGGAGCTAAACGATCACCTACCCCCATGGATCCTTCAGTTAACCCAAAATTCAGAAAGAATGGTGTTGCAGTTGATCCAGAAAGATACAAGAGACTAGTGGGAAAACTTATTTATTTGTCCCATACAAGACCTGACATAAGTTATGCAGTGGAAGTAGTTAGCCAATTCTTAGCACAACCATAGGAACATCATATAGAAGCCATTTATACCATATTGAAGTATTTAAAGATGACTCTAGGGAGAGGAGTTTTCTTCAAGAATGGAGAATTGAGAAATATAGTGGTGTATACCAATGCAGATCATGGAAGAACACGTGTTGATAGAAGATCAACAGGAAGTTACTTCACTTTTTTCTGGGGCAGTCTTGTAACTTGAAGAAGCAAAAAACAAACTGTAGTATCAAGAAGCAGTAGAGAAGTTAAGAGCCCTAGCTAACGGAGTTTGTGAAGGTGTGTGGATTATCCAAGTATTAAGTGAACTTAAATTCACTATTGATCCACCTATTAAACTGTGGTGTGACAGCATGTCTGCAATTCAAATGATTCACAATCTTGTCTATTATAATAGGACCAAACACATGGATATTGATAGACACTTTATAAAGGAGAAGACTAAATCAAACATTATTGATCTCTCACATAAAAACCTCTTTTCAAGTAGCTAATGTCCTTACAAAGCCTCTGGAAAGATCCCAATTTGAAAATTTTAGAGACAAGTTGGGTATTTTGGATTTCTATTCGCCAGCTTGGGAGGAAATGTTAGTGAGAATTGAGCCGTGGGCCTCAAAACCTTAACCCTAATTAGTGTTGCAGTCTATTAGTGTTAGTTTTACAATTCAAATTTCAATTGTAACATAGAATTTAAGGATATTATTCTGTTTTATCATTTAAATCAATATCATTTTGATTTTTTTCTAGGATTTCAACCTTCTACCCTCATTTAAAGGGGCTGATGTAAACTATTTAATTCCCTTGCTTCATTCAAATAAACACAATTTCAGAACCATAAGAGTTCTTCATAATTCTTACCCCAAAAAAAAAATCACCATTTAAAACTAAAAAATTTTAGAGTTGAAAAGCTAAAAATATATCTTTTAAAGTTAAGAGATTAAACTAAAACCCTTTTAATATCATATCACGTATCAATTCAACTCAAAGCTAATCAAACCAGGTACGTCTTGACTTTTTTTAATTCTTGCAGGTTCCTTCTCAAAAATGAACAAATGGGAGCATTAACAACATATCAGAACAGAAATCCGCGGCTTTTGCTTCTATATTTCTTTGACATTTAGCAGTACAATAAGTAGCAATCCGTAAATCAATAGTCTAATACAAAAGGAAATTACCTAGCAATACTCCCTCGAGTGGACGGTTACAAATGGAATAAACTACACTACATGACTCTCCGACGGCTTCTGATACAAATTCAATATCCTACTCACCCCTAGGAAACTATAATCAAAGTTCAAAGTGCCCTTTATGGCCTGAACCACATAAAAAAGATTGCTGCAACTCCACCTTCCCAAGGTGTAGTAAAGGAAATCATATAGACCTTTATGGCCTTGAACATCCAAGCATAATGAAAATGAATAATTGTTTCCAAAAGTCCAATGTTAAGTTCGAACTCTTCAAGTAGAAAGAACACCTGCAGAATAGGTAAGCCAAGTTGTGTTTGAAGAAGGTAAGCTACAGTATTGTATTATTTCATGAACAAAGAAAGACGAAGTATGGCAAAACAGGAACGTAAAAGTAAATATAGACAATCATTGACGTTATCAACCACGTATATGACATTGTGGTCAAGAACGTAAAAGTAACAAAATACACTTCTTAATGCAATGGATTATACTATCAACTGCATGTGCAACAGAATGATCATTGTAATTAATCTTTAGTTTATAAGAACAAAGATAAGAATAAATAAGGGAAAAATTGATCGCGCACAGTAGATGAATTATTAATATATGCACAGAAAATCCTTCAAGGAAAATGACAAATACCACAGCTTTTTATTAATGGTCGAACATAAGAAGCGTTTTCAAACAACAAATACTTATTTAATAGATATGCATTATGAGATGACAGATCATAAACATTATTGTGTCAAAACGAAGAATCAAAGTCACCACTAAAATCAATAAACAGTACATTTTATCAGGGTGGTGGTCCTCAATTACCTTCAGATGACGAAATAGCATTACAAGCGAAGAAGTGTAAGGAAGTACTGGCTCTGTAATTCTCCATCAACTTGCACAAGAAGAAACTCACACAAGCTCCAAGGCATGATAAATTTTTGAAACTCGCCTCCTAAATAAGGTTTCTAAGCGAAATGAAGGAACTCCACGCTGCCACTTTTTAGCTTCATACATCTCATTCCATGCTTGTACTATTTCATCAATTTTGAACTCTAGACCTGTAAGTAAAATGTGTTAGTATATATACATCTATTCTGCAATTTAAAAAAAAAAAAAAATTTATTAACATGAGCGTGTACCATCAGCAGCAGTATTATTTGAACAGTGGTTCTTCAGCATCACAGATATATCTGTAGGAGAAGCTCCAGCAAGTTTAAACTTCTCAACAGCTACTTCCAAAGATTCATGCCATACTGGTAACCCAACTTTGAATTCCACAATTGAACGCTCATATAGCATGGTACCCCACAGCAGATTTATCTGAGATCTCATATTTGCAGCCTGCGCAGCAATTTCATCAGCTGATATATTTTTAAGCATACCATCCAATCCCATGTCATCTAAGAGTAATTTGACATCCTTGGATTTGGAGGCTTCGATCAAGCGATGCTCCTCTGACTGTTCCCATAACTGCATTCCTTTTTCCATATTATCTTCAGCATTGTTATAAAGCTGAAGAACATGAGCAGAGGGCCACGATGCTGAATCAGCACTGCCGCTGATTGCATTATAATACCAAGAAAGTTTTGCTTGCTCAAATTGTTGCTGCCCCAGCGCCAGAAAGCCTTCAAAAAAATCTGATTTCATTTGAACGGCTGCTTCATATTTTTCTCCTGCATTTTTATATTCTTTCTCTGCCCAGTCATATGCACTATTGATTTGTTCATATAGATGCTTCTTAGAAGAATCTTCAGGGAAATAAACTTTCTTCCTTGCCCTAGACATGTGAACATTTCCCCAGTTGAACAACGCTAGAGCTGTCATCTCTTGGAACTTATCTCCCGCCATGTCAAATAAGCCTTGTGCTTCTTCACTTGTAACTGTGTCCTCCATAGCCTCAGAATAGAGCTTCATCCCAAGCTCATGAAAATTCAAATATCTATCAGATTCAAATCCAACGTGGTTTCTGAACAGCTGGGCAAACTGTATTGTCCAATCCTCAATGCAAGATGAGTTTATCACTTCCTTTTCTTTCAACACGCAGCCATTCTCAGGAGCTCTACTGACAGGAGGCTTTTGCACCTCCATTTTGTGAAGTTTCTCAAAGAATGGATCCTGCTCAGGAGTAGCTTCAACAATGTACAGCCGGATTGAACCTTGTGATCCTGCTGAAGTTTCTGCCCATCTTAACTCAGAGTCAGAAGTGATTGTGACCAAATCACCTTCTTGGTCTCTGTACTTAACAAGAACTGCTCCTAGGCTTGGGAAGCGGTCACAGATAACTTCTCTTAACTGCAAAAGGCTGCAATTAATTGGCAATTCCGCCCATCTTATGTCCTCACCAAAAACAAGTTTTGCTGTTTTCTTAGGCATACCATCTCTTCTACCATTAATTGTTTCCTCTACAACCTCTTTAACATCGGCTTTCTTCTCATCAATTTTCTCCTTGGCCTTTCTTTTAGATTTCTTCCCAGCCTTCTCAACATTGTCCTCGACCTTCTCTTCCAATTTCTCCCCATCTTGTTTTTCCACAGTTTTATTATCAATGGTCTTCATCTCAACTTTGTTGCTCTTCTTCTTGCGTGTCTTCTCTTTCACCGCTTTTTCTGGAGGCAAAGCATAAGAAGGTTCAACATAATCAGGAGGCAACTCAATCACTGTATCATTCACTCTTAATCCTTTCTCCTCAAGGGTTTTTTTGACCCTTTCAGAAATCTCCAATGCCATGATATTATTGGGTTCCATCTTCAAAATGCTACTAACATCTCTCAGAGCTAAATCCAGTCTATTTAAACCTTCATAACACCTAGCCCTCTTCAACAGTGCCTTACTGTATTTTGGTGTAACCTCAAGGGCTAAATCACATTCATGAATCGCCCTGGGGTACTCACCAAGTCCCATCTGCATGTAGCATGCCGCCATGTTACTCCGTAGATATGAAACATCTATATGATTTTTTGGAAGCAACTTGAGAGCTTTCTCATATTTTATCATGGCTCCTTCATGGTCCCTCTTTTGGAATAGCTTGTTCCCCTCATCCTTTAATTCCTGAGCCATGGATATGAATGCCATGGTATCCTTATCATACGCTTTGGGGCTACTATCTCCAACTTTGCTTTGATTCCCGCCACCATCATCACTGGATTTATCCCCCACTTGCTCCTTTTTCTTCCCCATTTTGTACCCGAAAATCCAACACCAAGGAAACTAGAACAAGAAAACTGGCGATACTTTTTTCAGACAACGACGCTAAATAACGTCAAACAACTGCATCCAACAGATAACCTATCTAAATCAATAGAGAAGACCTTCAACACGAAGACTACAGGGTAATAAATGACTCCAAACAACCTTGTCAACCTGATATAATAAACCAGAACAACAATTAGATCGACTCAACAATAAAATGTTATAAGCGTATCGTAGCCAAGCTAAACCAGCTTTATAGAGCAAAACCCTTATACTAAGAAGTTTAAGAACAAAATCTTAAATTTCTGGTAGCAGTTTCAAGAAAATAACTTCAAAATCCCAACTCCACTCTTGAAACTGATTAATAGGGTTGCCCTCTAATCGATGATAGTTGAACGTCGGAGATTTAACCACTGCCTATTAGAACTTGTTCTTGGTTATACAGATCCCAGCTCAATTTCAAAGAAAAACAGAGAGATGTCCTTAACTAAACCAGAAATCCCTCTCTGTTTTTCCAGGACAAGAAATGAAGGACCCGGAAACTTTACAAAAAAGAGAAACTTATCTGGATGGCCAGAGAAGCTTCAAATCTCACCAGAAAGCCCCAAAAACGACGACAGAGCTAGAATGTGTCGAGAGAAGAATTATGGGAAACGGAAGAAACCCAAACCACGTTGTGTTAGTCCTTTTGTAAAGCACAAGGCTTCTGCATCCTTGCCGTGAACGCCACAAAAGCAGAGATAACTCGGATAACGCAATAACGCGGAAATCCGAATTCCCTGAAATGCAAAATATTCCCTAGTTGAGAAAAACAAAATGGGAGAAAGATGGTGGGTCCCATATATTCGACGATTCCAATTTGCCAGGGAAAAAAACTGGAAAAAGTGGGGAACGGGGCTAATCAGCAAATGGGACTCACCCAGATGCCAGATCCATAAGTTCTGAAGTATTTTAAATTTTTAATGTTTCTGTGCAGTTTCGGTTGGATGGGAAGAGGGGAGAGAGAAGCGTCATTCATGGCGGCATGACGGTTAGGGTTTCATAAAAGGCATCATTGGATTTTTCCGCCAAATTAATTGATAATAACGACTTCATTTAACTAGAAACACTCTTTACATGACATGATTTCCGAACAAATATAGTAGTAGATCATCATTTGTTTGTTGTGCCTATTTAGGATTTATTGATTGGATATAATGTCATCTAATCATGCAAGCTTAAATCACGTTGTGTCATGGAAGAAAAAAAATATTTTTTATTTTGTTGTATTTGATCATGTAAGAACAATCTCTGGTCAAAATAAAATGTGAAATAATATTAATTCTCTAACCATAAATTTCATTTAAATTTAAGATTATCTAATTCTTTTAAATTGCAAGGACCAGTATTATCAACATGAGATTACCAGCAATATTAAACTCACGAAATAAATTGTCTCTAAGATTATAAATTTAAATCATGATTTTCATATGGTGACCAAAAAATTGTGACCATTTTGCTAGACAAATTCTTTTTCAAGTACTAATCCGGTCCTAAATATAAGACTTTTATACTAGTGTGTATAAAGGTATTATATTTAGGACTGGAAGTGTATTATATTTAGCATAACACTTTTTTATTATTATATTATCTTTAATTTTAAATATGAGAATTAATTTATACTGCAGCACTATAAACTAATTCTTATGTTTAGGATTAGAGGCAGTATTCAGAGTCGAAGATGGAAGATGAATATCTGTCTTAAGAGTTCGAATATAATTTTTATTATAAATGTTTTTGAGTTTAAACATTTCTGTTACATAGTAGGTGTGCATGTATTTATAAAATATATGTAATAAAAAATTAAACTAATTGGTGGTAATAACTCAAAAGAGAAAAAACTCATTCGATTATACATCATCTTTAATTAAAATTTTATAATTTGTAATTGATTGTCTCCAAAAACATTTTACAAGTAAGGATGTCACAAACTGGGGGGAAAAAAACATTTTTTTGGCCCGGGGGGGGGGGACATTACACGTTGGCCTATATATGATTTGAAGATTTAGTGTTATATATATAATTGATTTATTGAAAAAAAAGATTGAAAATGATCATGGTCATCATGAGTGGAGGGCAGTGAACGTGGGGAAACACGGTGAAATAGTGGTAGGCCTCACAGCCACGGAGCCACCTATAAAAAAGATGTACGCTTTCCCAACTCTGTCCTCGTGCATGTTTGTTTATTTATTTTAGAAAAATTAATTTTTTATTCCAGCATTTTTTACTACATAATATATTATTCCCTAAATTTTAATTTAATATAACTCAATTTTTATAGTTTTCATTCTATTATAACTTAATTTGTTAATTTTGTCTCAATATAACTTAGCCTTTACAATTTTTATCATTTAAAATTTTAGTTTCTAAATCTTCATGAAATATATAATTTCATAACTAAAGTTTTAACTAGTTAAAATCATAGGTGTATAGCTAAAATTTAAATACCAAGTTATAACAAGTCAAAAATATAAACACAAAATGGTATCAAATTAAAATTTAAAAAAACATTTATTTTTTATTATTTTATTTTATTTTTTCCCCCAAAAGCGGGGGGGGGCAACAGCTCAAAAGAATCATCATCACTCGTCCCCCCAAGCAACGAACAAAGAACACCCTAAAAGGCAACAAACACTGGACCCCACCTTCAACTGCCAATTACAGTTCACGGCTCCACTACCTCCAAACGGCACCGTAACTGACTTTTTGAGCAGTTGCATTGACCCCGCCTTTTATCCGATCTGATGATGAATCCGGCTACTAAACTCCAGAGAGACCTTTGGGGAAAAAAGAATAGAAAAACCCTACTCTTTATTTTAGGGGTCGAAAGAAAAACCCTACTTTAACAGAGATATGAAAGTTATCTAAAATCATAATTGGGCCTCTGTAAATCCCGAGAGATTATTCTATCATTAGATTGAATTTAATAAATCTATTTAAGTACCTGACAGTATTTCGAATAGGATTGCTTTCAATAAGAGAATACCTATGTTTTAGTAAAAAAAATAAATCTATCCAAGTGTGATGGATGGTAAATGAAAAGTAACCGGGTACATGAAGAAAGATTCCACAAAGACTAAAGTTATAAATTTTATAAAGGGAAAAAGATCATAAAAGCGTTCCTCAATAATTATTTTACTCTTTTTTTTTTAAAAGAAAAGATAATTGTATTCAAAGAAAATTAAAATAATCACACAAAAAAGCCAGCGGATCATAAAAGGTCAGTCCAACTCAAACACTAGAACTAGGGCTGGTAATACGGGCCAACCCGCGGGTTGCGGGTTGCGGGTTGGCCCGTGACGGGTTGAACTCATGGCGGGTCGGGCTGAAAAGGCTCGTTTGAAGGCGGGTTGGCTTTTAGCCAACCCTAACCCGCCAAAATGGGTTGGTGGGTTGGCCCGCCAACCCACCAACATTTATTTATTTTTTTTTTAAAATATTTTTTTTACTTTTAATATATTTTTCTTATATAATATTTAAAAATAATAATAAACTTTTTGTTTTTCTTGAAATATTTGATTAAAAGTACCAAATAAATTATATAAGTATTTTTAATATTTTTTAGATAAGATATACTATATAATAATATAATTATAATAATTAAAAAATTTTTAAAAAATTTTAAAAAATGTGGGTTAGCCCGCGGGTTGGCGGGCTAACCCGTGACGGGTTGCGGGCCTGGCGGTGCGGGTTAAAAAGGCTCGTTTATTGGCGGGTTGATTTTTGGCCAACCCTAACCCGCCATTTTTGGCGGGTTGGCGGGTTGAACCTGCGGGTTCAACCCATATTACCAGCTCTAACTAGAACAACAGCATTTAATACAACTGGAAAATGAAAAATCATCCAATAAGCCTAGAAGATGGTCAGCATTTTAAAGACTTGCCAAAGCTTGAGTCTCATCCCGAACCAGCTACAACACAACCAAAGTAGATACCGCTCAAAGTCTCAAAATACAGGAGTAGATGGCACTCGGCAACAGTGATTGAACTAGGGACATGGGGGGCAAAAAAAAAAAAAAGAAGAGCTAAAGTAAAATTAAAAGAAGGCTCAGAGAAAAGAGATGAAAAAAGGTGATGGGGCAAACTGGGAAAAAGAAAAGATGAAATAAGTTGGTGAAGCAAGAATAAAGATAAGAAACTACAGCACAAAGTCGGTGGAAGGAAAAGGAAGGCGGTGATGGATTAGTGAGCAAGAAGAAAGTGCGGCGATGAAAGGCGGTGAAGGCGGTGAGGTGGGAAGCGTCACAAGACGCCGGAGACGTTGAGAAAAATAATTGCACCTACTGAATTGAAATAACCTTTTGTGCGAATTTTTCTTAAAAATGTGAAGGTATATTCTGAAATTTGTGTGGAGCATATAATATTTTTAGATAAAGTTATAAATTATCTTAAAAATTTATTAGTTGTATTACAGGCATAATAGAAAATTGTACACAGTGAAAGACTTTTACACGTAATTAAAAATAAGTTGCATTCTTATGCTGTACATATTTAAATCATAGGCCAGAGAAGAAAGTTTGCAAATGGTAAAAGATCTTCGCTCTTGATCATGAAGATAAATGGCCGGCCAATAAAATACGTTGCGCACCTTTTAACAAGGAATAAAAAACCAAACTCAATATTAAACTGTTTGAGACAGTAATTCAATAGTCAGTTAATCATAGTAGGATCAACATGAAATAAAACTGATTATATTAAAATAATATAATTTAATTAAAAATAACAAAAATACAACAACATTACTAATCACTAATAACAAAAAAAATATAATAATTAATTGTAACAATAACAAAGTACAACAATATTAAAAATTTGATTTTCCATCAATAACTAAAATTAATAATCATTGATACCAAAATCATTATTAAAATTCTTTTAAATCTATAGTGATTGCGATATTATGAGGTTGAATGAGAAAAAAATAAGACTAGTAACAATATAATCATTCAAATCAATTCACACGTGTTTTTTTTTTTTTATTGGTTTTCATTGG